GGCCAAACCGTTGAGCTGAGGTCAAATCTGACGAACTTTGGCGAAAGAGCTTGAAAAGAGCTATCGATTGCTTTTTTCCGCGGCTCTCTAGCTCTTCTAGTTTCCGAGCTACAGCGGAATATGTCCGGCAACACCGAAAACACTGAAATTTGACCTATGATGACCTCTAGCGACCTCAATATTGACCTTAGCGAAAAAATGACCGAAATACTTTCGAACGTACTTGTTATGGGCTTTCGTTTGCTTTTTTCCGCGTCTTCCTAGCCCTCTTCGTTTTCGAGTTAGACGGGGGGGGGTCATTTTGGCCCCCCCCCACCAGGGCGAAGGTGGCTCAGACCCACACCAGGGCGCGGGTTAAAATTAGTCACCTTAGTGTAAACTTTTCAATGATCCCCATTTGGTATTTAGTAAAAGATGAAGAAGGTGTACATACTATTGGAAAAGAGCTACAAGTTTCAATACTGAAGACTACCCTAGATCAAGGTGTTATCATCTTGTACTAGTATGTTAGTAAAAGCAATTAAGACTTGGGGAAAAATATGTCAAGTTTTAGTAAGGAAGTGAATAAAACTTATTTTTGATTGACTGCTGAAATCACTGCTGAAGCAGTCATTTGAAATGACTGCTGAAACAGTCATTTGAGCTGACTGCTAATTTTGACTGCTCTTTCATTCACTACTGTTTCTGTTTCACAGGTGTGGGCAAATCCTGCCTCCTATTGCAGTTCACAGACAAAAGATTTCAGCCTGTACACGACCTGACCATTGGTAAGCGTCTGCTGCTGCTAATGTTTACCTTGACCAATGGACCAATAGTCATTGGTCACTCATTTCAATTTGTTGAATCACAACTCAGCAAATGTAATATCTCTACAAGGGCACTTGGTAGCCAGCTGCATCATAATGAGCTGAATTGACAGCCCCAAAACTCCAACAACCCATGATATCGACGGTCTGTCCATGTGACTTAATCCAAGGCGTGGAAGCTGGTCTCACCATCCAACCATCCACGTTCCTTTCCGTTCCACACCGCTGACCGCCTCTCTGTGTGTCGCAGGCGTGGAGTTCGGCGCCCGCATGATTACCATCGATGGCAAACAAGTCAAACTGCAGATCTGGGACACGGTAAGGGCTCGGCACCGGATACGGGCTGCCTATTGATCCATATGGGCCGGGATGTCCGGTTATAACGGGCAGAACTATTGACTAACTACTGTAATAGCCAGCTAGTTAGTGGCTTTTCTGTTTTGGCAAGCGTGAACACGTTGGAGTTCCGGATTGACATATGCCTGCTGTTTTTTTTTTCGCCCTTATATCGCATATTCCCATGCTGAGCTGATTCCGTTTGAAGAAAATTACTTCCACGACTTCTGTCTGCTATATTCAGTTGACAATCTTCTTTTCTATACATCCAGTCGATCATCATCCACTTTTTTCCTGTTTGGCTGGAATGACCTTCCCATGCAATCGCTCACATTACACACATGCGCCATCTCATCGCCCCCCCCCCCCCCACCCGTCCGTCGGCCGGCCGGTGACCCCTCCCCCCGTGGCCCGCAGGCGGGTCAGGAGGCGTTCCGGTCCATCACGCGCTCCTACTACCGCGGCGCGGCCGGCGCGCTGCTCGTGTACGACATCACTAGGCGCGACACGTTCAACCACCTCACCACGTGGCTGGAGGACGCGCGGCAGCACTCCAACTCCAACATGGTCATCATGCTCATCGGCAACAAGAGGTGTGTCATGTGTGTGCGCCGACCGCGGCCGGCGGGCTTGGAGGGAGGGGAGGGACAGGACACGGAGAGATGGCGGTGGAGGGATTTCGCCAAAGCTAATTAGGGGGTTCCTCGTACTTTTTATCTTTGACGGTGGTCTCTGTAGACGATATATATTCCAGTACGCTACATCTTATTTTGCAAGCTTGCGAAGTGTCTGTATTGAAATTGGAGAATATTTTACGTTGCTGTTTCTTGCCTGCGGAGTACCCCACCATTATATCGAAGGTCAATGGCCTCTGTTGGCACGTTTACAATTGTTGTTTTTATGTGATGTTTGTTGTACAGATCTAAGCAGCGCTGTTGACCCGGCGCTCTACAGAAGATGCTCACCTGTGCGTGTCCCATCGGTGACCTGTGATCTCTCTCCATGGCGTAACCCATGACCCGTGGCTGCCCCTGGCCTGTGACCTGTGTGTGACCTGTCACTGTGACCCGTGACTGACCTCTGCCCTGTGTTCCGCCAGCGACCTGGAGTCGCGGAGAGACGTGAAGCGCGAGGAGGGCGAGGCGTTCGCGCGCGAGCACGGCCTCATCTTCATGGAGACGTCGGCCAAGACGGCGGCTAATGTGGAGGAGGCGTTCATCAACACGGCTAAGGAGATCTACGAGAAGATCCAGGAGGGGGTGTTCGATATCAATAACGAGGTACGGCTGGCGCGCGGGGAGGAGGGGAAGGGGGGAGAGGGATGTGATTGGGCTCGGGTATTACCGGAGATGGTTCGATGTCGAGGCCTAATGTTACAGACCAGTTTTCTAAGAGCATGATTAACGGTGGCTAAGTTTATTTAACCCTCGCCCGTATTGGTGTTTTTCCAGCCGCGAACGTATAAGGGGGGGGGGGGGGGTCCGTTGGACCCCCCCCTTGCCGTTTCGCCCCTGATCGAGCTAGCGTGTTGCCCGTGACGAGAGGAAGCCGATGATACCTAATTTTAAGGTCCTAGGTCATTGGTTGACCTTGCAGGTCAGGTCAATGACCCAAAAGTCGGGAAAATCGGAACCTGTTAGAACGTCGTAAAGTGTGGCTGCTACGGGGTTTTTCGGGGTGCTGATCACGACTATCATGTTAGTTTTGATCACAGATGATGTCTTCATGCATTTAGTCCAGGTCGGGTCAGGTCAGGTCAGGTCAACCAGTAGGGGTCCTGCCGGGTATTCCTAGTAGGTGTCAACCGCCTCTGACAGCTTCGTAACATGTTACGAAGGCACCAAAACTACTTCGTAAATGTTCAAATGGTTGCTAAATTCAAATTCAGCTGCAAAAACTGGCCTAGAAACATGTAAAACTCCAAAAAGTGAACCGAGGTCATCAAAGGTCAATGACCTGACCTGACCTTCAGGTGACCTTGACACCCACCCTAACGCATGGGGGCAACATCATATCACATGTTTGAACGCTTGAAACCACGAAAAGACTGCAAACGCGCGGCTAATGCGAGCCGACATACGTCGAATCGCGATTCCGGCCAAACATGGTCTCGAAAAGAAGGTCACAGGTCAAAGGTCATTGGGGTCAGGGTCATGCAATTTTCAGAGTAGGTGTAAAATTGATTACCGCGAGGGTACTGAAAGTTTCGTCGCGATCGGCCGCTTTTTACGCGAGTTATTCGCGAAAACCATGGGGGGGTCCGTTCGACCCCCCCCCCCCCCCTATACGGGCGAGGGTTAAGGACGCGTCGTCATTATCATTTGCTTGAGAAAACTCATTTCGAGCGTTCCGACTTGGCACGGTCTAAAAACAGCTCTGAAGGTGCTGCGTCTTAAATCTTAATGCCTCGTTTTTGCGTTATTGCGTGGCGTTGTTTCTACTGCGCTGTGGTGCCAGTCGCCGTCATCGTCTGGTTCACGATGTTTATTCAAACTCGGCTGTCTCTGCAAAACGAGCGCGCTTTCGGGGTTATTTGTCGATGAAAGCAGCTCAAGCGTCCAAGGGTTACCAAGCTGACCTGTTGCTAGCCACCCTTCGTTTAACTCGTCCCTAGCTACCCTGCTTTTAGCCTGTCCCTAGCTGACCCGCCCCAGCCATTTTATCTAGCCCGACCCCAGCCCCACTTCGTCTAACCATATTCTTATTCTTTTTTTTCGCAGGCGAACGGCATCAAGCTGGGCCCGCAGCACTCTCCGGCGGCGGCCGGCGGTATGGCGGCCGGAGGTCTGGGTGGCTCGCAGGGCGGCGGATGCTGCTAGGTCGGTCACCTGCCCCCCCCCCCCCCGCGCCGCGCACACCGCCCGCCGCCGGCACTGTCCGGTGTACATATTTGTGTTTGAGTAACAGCTATACACCGCAGTCGTTTATGTTTGCACGCGGCAATTATTGTTAGTCGTAATTAATCGTCGCGTGAGTCTGCCGGGCGGTCTGAGGCGCCCGCTCCGGTGGGTTGCCCTGCCGCCCCCGCCCCCGCCGCCGGCCGCCTCTCGGGCTACTTGCAATCAGTATCGGGTCAGCGGCGTGTCGGCGGTGACGACATTCCAGCGGGGGTGTCGTATCGTGTGAGCGTTAGCTGTGATTAGTTGCGGGCACGGCGCGCCGGCCAGCGCGCTGCCCTCCCGGCCGTGTGCTCTGTTTGTGTGCGTGGGTGTTGTTATTGGAAGAGTCAACGGGCGTGAAGTCTTACTATAAATTATATCCCGTGTGAATGCTTTGCGCCTCCTATTTGTGTGTGAATGTGTGTGCGTGTCTTTCATTTGGGGCATCGCCTTTCGACCCGTACCTCCGTGCTTTTTCAACGTCCCCTTTTCCACCGTCGGTAACTACCCCGGCTGCCGCTGCTGCGCGGTGGCGCCATCATCGCGCGCGCGTCTGCGTCTGGTCTGTCTATGAGGAGAATTGGTTGTTCAATATAAAATAAAGTATATGATTAACCAGTTTGATCAGTGATATAACCAACACCGGAGCTTCACGTAGCATGCTTACTGACCACCAAAGCCGTGAACAATTTAACATGATCTTTATTGTGAACAATTCTACATTGATCGGCCTATTGAGTTACCTGGCCTGAGCATGATCGATTGCTGACCTGGTCATCAGCAAGATCGAGGCCAACGGAATTGCAAGTTGTATGACATTCCCTGGACTCGAACCCTGGTCGAATGCTAAGAATCGAACCATACTGATCGGAAGATGTAAGGAACTGCGTAAAGTCCCTCCTCCCCAGTCAACAAAATTTTGGAAAATAGCCAAGTCGAGCGCTACGAAAGAAGAGCTTCGTGGTTGCTCTTGCTTTTCAGCTACACCCACACACAATGGCTTAGGAAAACAACTGTCGCCATTTCATCTAATGCACGTGCGTGAGAATGTTTTGTCTTGGTTTTGTCTTTTGTCCATTTTTCCAGATCTCAAACATCTGGGAGACTATAATAAGAGTTCTATCGGCTATAGTATATACGGCCTGAGTTATATAGCCTTGGAGGCTATAAAAGTGCCGTTCCAGATTACGAAGGTCAATCCAAGTTCGTATATTATGAATCTATTATATCGGTCAACGAAATAAGAGGTGTGCTTAATTGATGGTTGATTACTTGACCGTGTTATATCCAGACGTCTCATTGTCAGCTATCTAAAAATATTGTTTGCCATGCTGCACTATGAACCCTGAGACCGCCACCATTGTCCTAGCCGTTTAAAAATTCAAGTCTTATCAGTGCTAGAATTTCGTAAGTTATGTCTTCATACAGCACATATACAGGGGGAGCATCAAATTTTGATCGAAGTGGTCGCTTCGAAAGAGAAAGGTCGGAATATCCCAATACAGCAAAGGAAGAACAAAACAGAAGTGGAAAGCATGCGGTAAAAAAGCAGCGTTCAAAGCAAGACACATGGAAGGGCATATTTGTGGTGACTCAATTTTGGGTCATTTGCTTCGCATCAGTTGCATTCTTAGCGGTAGCCACCGCAAGCTTAGCAAAACTTTCTGACCGCCAGATACTTGAAACCAAAGACAGAGTGCCCCAACTTCATACGTGGTTCAAAGTTGCGATATGCTTCCGGCCATTCATGACCGATACATATTTAAAAACTTTGTTTGAGGCGAAATTCAACAAAAACTTTGAAGAACACATCAAAAGCCTGAATATCTCAGATGAAGAGAAGAATCCATTCTTTGAGGATTTCTACTTAGACAACACATTGGAGCCGAAACTCTATCAAAGCTACTTCCGCCACGTACATCCATGGAAAGATGTGTCACCCAATGTTTTATGGGAAGCTCAAAAGTACATCCTTCAAGTAGCCTTTGCGGAATTCCTCATCGATGGCATCCCTATGGGAAAACCTAAACTGGATGTCAATGTAGGCATGACCGAAAACGACATGAAAATATATGCCTGGCTACCATCCCCACAAAAGACAAATGCGACAGGCGACCAGCCACCCCTGGTCGGTGAGCTTATATTGAGTCCAATCTATCTGGGATGTGCCATTTTTACACTGAATAAGGAAATGGCAAAAAAGCAAGTGTTTTTCAGCGTGAAATTTAGACCAGCGTTTTCGATGGTAACCACAGGGAAGGCTGTCGACTTAGGGCATGTGATTGTTTCCCGATACAAGGCCGCAGACGTATTTGTGCTCAATAAAGACGAACCATTCACAGAAATTTCAACTATCAAGCAAAATGCTAAATTTAGTGTTGATGCCTTTTCGCGTGAACGCCTTCTGGTAAAGAAATCAATGTTTATAAGACAAAGGAGCAAGAAAAGAAATTGCGAAGTAAGCGAGACCAACTCTGAAATGGCATGCCGCAAGCATTGCGTCTACAAGGGACTGTTGGATGAAATCAACTGTACCCTCCCGTGGATGGAGCGGTTCCGAGAAGAGCCCCAACTGTTGGCACAGTTTGCGAGTCTGCCGAAGTGCAGTGATTTGGACCCAACTATGATGCTTGAAGCAAGCACGGCTCAAGAAGCATTTATGAGCAACATTAAAATCAGGCAAAAACTAAAAGTTCAAAGCTGTCTGCAAAACTGCTTGGAGTCGTGCCACTCCTCAAGGGTACGTACTATAATTATACTGTAATGTCCGTCGAAATTACTCATGTTCAGTCCAGATTCGCCCCAGATGGTATGACGTTCAATGGGCTGCCGAACGATGTGTTTTCTTTTGTGCCTATCCGTATATTCGAAATCTGCTGTGCAAGCTTTGTACATGATTCACCAATGACCTCAGGCCGTGCGGTGATATTTATAGGTAAAACGGATAATGGGGCATGTCTTTCAGATCCGGACGAGTTTTGTGCCGTTTTCAGCGTTCTAGCTCAACTGGTTTGGTCACAATCTTTCGCGCAGATTTGAGGCTCCTAACCTTTGTTGACCTCTCTGGGTCAAACAGTGGGGAGAGCCCACAAATAGTTACGGCAGGCGGCGACTAATTTATATACCTTAACGCTACATGTGACCGTACAACAGCCTTACTTAAAGGGACCCTCCCACCTTAACATTAGATTTGAGTTGAGATAGCCAAAATGGGGTCCCTGGCTCACAATTACCGGTTTCGGCACTCACAACATCGAGAAATGCCTTAAATCGGAAATATTGAATTTCAAAATTGCAGCATTTTGATTCAGAGGGGCTAATGCTTAGGAATACCCCTCTGAATGTGTGACGTCAGCGCAGATATCTAACGATTTTTAAATGTTTGACTAAAACGTTTTGGAGCACGCGGTGGTACATGCTATTTGCGCGCAACATCTGCCGCCAACGCCGCACTTCTAAAATAAAGTCGCTAGAAACAGCGGAGATCCCAAAAAAGTAAATAAAAGTAAAAGTCTAATATCTTGAAAACCGGTGAATATTTTTCGATGAAATTTGGTAGATATTCGTTTTCGCTCTTTCTGAACCGAGCGACATCACTTTCATGCCAATCCATAAACTTTTTTGAAGGTGGGAGGGTCCCTTTAACGGTAGTATTGGCAGGCATTCTTAGCTCAGTCGGCGGAGAGGGGATGGACACGGGGCGCGTGCTCACACCGCCGGTCGGGGGGCGCTGTTCCAGGTACGCATCCTCTCCCTGGGCAGCAAGTCGATCGGCACCAACTACGGCATCTCGCTGACCATCTCGCCGATCGTGGACGTGGTGAAGGAGCACTTCAACTACAACTTCACCAACATGGTGTCGGAGCTGTGCGCCTCCGTCAGCTTCCTGCTCGGACTGTCCGCCATAGCCATCTACGACTGGCTGGTGGCGTTCGGCGTGTGGCTGGCCGTCCGGCTGGGACTGAGGAAACCCGACGAGGCGGAGGCGGAGGGCGCCAAGGAGGACGCGACGGTTGCCGAGACGACGGCCGAGCAGGGCGCCGACCCGGCCGCCGCCGCCGCGGGCCCGGCCGCACAGACGACAGAGACCGGCGACAGCGCGGATGGCGTCCAAAAGCGCCGCGTCAGTGTGCAGCTGCCCGGCGAGACGACAGGAAACGCAGCAGGTTCTGCTGTTTGAATGTGTGGCGTGTGAGTGGGTGACAGGGAAGGTTTGGTGACCTCCCGCTGTTCGTTCGTCGGGTGTGGTTCACTTTATCGGAGCAGTGTTGAGAAAGGGAACGTTTTAAACGGACGTGCGAATTGTATATGTACAATGTTGGCATTAGCGTTGCTGTTTGTGGTATGAATGGAGCGTGGGTTTTTGTTCCAGTGATCGTCGGCTCTTGTTCTATAGAGTGTTGCTTTGTGTGTCTCTGATCCATTCGTTTCTACAATTGCTAGGTGGTATAGGACCGAAGACGTGTCATTTCTGTTTGAATTTGACGGTATGCCAATAAAAGTTGGTGTATGTTTTGCGACTGCTTTGCAATCCTTCGCCACTGGTCATATTTCAATCTTCGATCAACGATCATGCTGTCTGAAATTGTGACATTTATCCGTACCTAATAATCACCCAACACGCTGGCTAGGTTCCATTGCATTTCAACATTCGGTCACTCTGCCAGTTTGCTGTGCTCCATTTTACGTGAAGGCAAGGCCATATATGGGCGTGAACCTGAACGTGAAGCTAACGTGTCGATAAAAAGGCCCATCTCGAGAATACTTGGGAAAAGCTTCTCGCGTCTGAGGCAGCCGCCCGCCTCCAGTCACCCCCTATTCTGATCGAGGTAGCGCGGCACAGTCTAACTTCAGGCGTTTGTTACTAGGGACATCTAGCGGCGCGACGGTAAGCACAAGCTTTGGTGCGTCTCTTAGGTGGCTGAAGGAGCCTTCGGCGGTCACACCCGCTGGCTCGTGCGTTTGCGTTATTAGGAAAGCAAGGAAAATGAGAGAAAAGAACTACTAAACAATTATATAAGATACGACACTAAAGATAACATCAACACCCAATCCCCATCGATCTCGCATCGCCATAAAATCCCGCAGATCCCTTCAGCCATCTTCAGCTATGTAACTATTAGTTTTGGATTTAGTCGCTAGGTGGCACTATCCATCACTATTCTCCACTGCGCTGATGACACTGAAGGCTGAGTCAGGTTGGTCAGGGCTGAGGGAGATGTGTCTTGTTTGTAGATTGCAGGTACTCGAAGATGTGTATCGGAGGAAGCAGAATTTGGAAAACGCTGAATGATAATTGTTTCTGGTGGAAGATCCTAGGAGTAGCCGAGGCTGGGAGTGGGAAATGACCGAGGGCGTAGGGCCAAATAGGGCAAGTTAGCATTCAGAGGGCTACGAACGGTACGCCCCGGAATCACGAGAGATGCGACAGGAGGTCGGAGCTCGTCATTATCTCACGCTTACATTCACCATGATGGGCGCAAAACAACCAGATTGTAGCGCCTGGCTATGAGTTGATGTATTGAATACAAAGACACGTTCCAACTGAGAGTCTCAAAAGCACGGAATGCGATGAGGTCGCGACGATAACCGAGTTTTGTAAAAAAAAAAATCGCTTTGATTGGTGTCGTGACTAATGCGTGTAGCACCGTTCAGTGATGAGAGGGCCAATGCAACACGTAGGTACCTACCTATTTGCCACGCAAAACTTTATCCAGCTTAGGTGCTACTGTTGGGATTCGAAATGCTCATCATGGGTTATTTGCATGTATTCTGATGAGGAAACTTGCCATTTTTCTCTGTGCACCTATAATTTGCATTGTTTCGATAACCGCTGCCTGATGGCCGTCACATCTATATTTGCTGTTGAGCCAGCGCCGCTCAGTGCCGACCACCGTGCGCCGGCTCCGTGTGCCCGGCTCCCGTACCGTCCGGCGCACAGCCCCGCTCGGCGCCCCGGCCTGAACCTCTCCCCGCGCGGCCCCCTGCTCACATGTACTCGCTGTCGTCAAAGAAGTAGCACATCTGGAAGGTGGAGCCGCGCGCGGCGGTGAAGTAGGCCGGGTAGTTGTAGATGAGCGCCGCCTGCTCGGTCGCCTCGCTGGGGAACACGGCCTCGCTGCGGCGCGCCTCAGCCACCAGGAAGTTGGCCAGGTACTGGGAGGCCTCCACGGCGTCGGCCCAGTGCGGCACCTGGTCCACCCGCTCCAGCGTGGACCACTCGAAGGCGGCCTTCTCCGGGTGGAACTGGACGCCGTAGATGGGCAGCTGGCGGTGCTCCACGATCGAGACGTACGGCACGCCCTGGCGGTCGGTGTTGGTGGCCAGCGTGCGGAACTCCTCCGCCAGCCGCGAGAAGCTCTCCGGGGAGACGCAGTTCGAGTGGAACATGACCACGTTCGGCTCGACCGTGAACAGCGCCAGCTGCTCGGCGGTGGCGTTGGCGAACAGCCTGCTCTCGAGCAGCGCCGGCTCGGGGCTCACGGCCACCAGCTGGTTCTCGGCGTCACAGGCCTCGATCACCTCCGCGCCGCCGGCCAGGAACGCCAGCTCCTCGTGGCCCTGGCACGTGCCCCAGATGGGGAAGTGCACCTCCGGGTGCGCGTGCGCCAGGTCCCAGAACGCCCGCGAGGCGGCGCCGAAGCCCTCAGAGTCCAGCTGGCTATTGCCTCCGGGCAGCAGCAGGCCGTTGAGTTGATAAAACATGTCCTCGTAGTACTTCTGCGAGCGGTGGATGAAGACGGGCGCGGCGCGCGCGCCGGCCGACTCCACGAACTGTACGTAGGACGCCTGCACGTAGCTGGTGTAGTTGAGCTCCGGGAACAGGTCGTCGATGTCGGGAGTCGTCTCCTGCGCCAGGATGCCGATGATAGGCCGGTCGTTGGCCGAGACGGACAGCGCGGCCGCGGAGAGCACCAACAGCAGTGAGGGAGACATAGCTGTGTGTTTTCCTGGTCGACGGGTAGGTACGGAGGGGATCGGCAGCCGGTGCGGTAGAGACGGACGGAGGTCACGGAGAGCGGGGCAGACAGAGGAGGAGCGGTACCAGCCACGCGAGCGGTCAGCGCGCGCGGCACGGCGGATCGGCTAGAAGTGCCACTGCCACGGTAAGGGTACCCTGCTCGTGCCCTCGTACGCCGCCGTGGGAACGTCTCCAGACGCGCCGGAACGGCCCGATAGCGGCGCGGCCTACAGCTCCGAACAGCGCGCAGTCATCACAGCTTTGTGTCGGCCAACTTCAAGGACGGCCTCTGACACTGGAACACTTGTGGACGCGGTCACACGGGATCGGAGGAGGTGTCGAAAAGCTAGCTCTTCATTGTGCTTTGTATGCGCTTCGTTCCGGTTCGTTTTTGCACCAACTCATTTTATAGACGTGTTATAGGACCTATCTTCCCATTATCGATTGCCTTTCGAGGCCGATGACGTCAGCAGACAATACAGCTCGGTGAATTCGGTGCTGACTTGTTGATTTTGTTTATAGCACTTATCGTTCGTTTTTATCGCATCTGTAACTTCTGACACGAACAAGGCTTTAAAATTTGAGCCATCAACTTAAAGATTCGCTTTGCAATTCTTACAGTGTCCCTCAGCCGTAACTGAGGCCAAGAACACGCTAAAACAAGGCGCTGCGTTTCACAAATGGTGTATTACATACGTCATCTAGCGGTCCAGTCCTTTGCTGCTCATTCATTTTTCGGTTCATTTTATTGCTTGATTCACTTGCAGAGATGATTTCCCATACCTCTATGACAGTTGGCATAAAGCCCTTGTTCTTGAAAAATGAAGAAAGGTATAGGCATGTTTATGAGAAGGCATTGCTTTGTTGGTAAATGAACTAAAATATTTAGCAAAAGAGAAGGTAGAACGGTTCCCATAAATCTTAAAAATGACAATTGTTAATTTCGAAAGAACGCTTTCCACAAATCCAGTATCAATCCAGTCAGATCAGCCCAGTATTACAAACAAGGCCGTATAAGAAAGCACGATCGATAAAATAATACAAATTACATGCACACCACATTCAGATCCTGGAAATCAGGCATCAGTCGGTCCAGTGCAGTGTACGAAATACTACTCACCGACTCAAAGTAGGTAATACGTTATACGTTCAAAGCGAAACATGCAGGGCAAAGTCATTTTGTTATCCTATTTAGTGTTAAACATAAACAGGCTTAAACCGCTGTAATAAAAACAAAACCCGTTTAAGCTTATTCTGACAGCTTACGTAATTTTTGCACCTGAAATTGGACATGTTGCATGCGCAATGCGCATGTAGGGATATACGTTTACGGAGCCCACGGACGGAAGTTTCACACTAAATCCACCTTGCAGCTATGTATCCGGGTGGTCCTTTTAGCCAGGGGCGTGGGTTCCGGCTGAGTCCAACACACCAACTCTCGAAACCCGTCTGAGCGAACTGCTGAGCTTCTCAGAATGCGGAGTTTCAGGGCAGAAACACAGAGTTCGCTGTAGTCGCTGACACGAGTTTATGGACAAGCTGAGTTGGTTCGAGCTGCTCGATGGGTTGCCCCCTCCGGTTGCCGAGTTTTTGATGTTTGAAGCATGAGGATAGAAATTGGCGAATGCTTCCCAGAAGTCAGACGATTTTAGATTGAATCTTTATGAGGTAATATAGAACACGTATTATTTTTTCTCCTTTATCATGGTTGCAGATGCATTATCGTAAATTTTATGTTTACGTATTTATTTTCAATAATCCGAAATAAAAGATAAAAGTTACAAAAAATGCTGGCATATTACTAGGGATTGATATTTTATAATGAAGCGAAAGAGGCTTTTTTACAGATGCGTAAAATTTCTAACAATGACTGATGGGCCTCATTCCAGCCGGGCTCCGCGCGATGACCGATGACCGTCTCGGTCGGCGGGGGTTACGAGACTGCGGCCGCAGACGGCGGCGCGGGCCGCCGCCAGCCCTGTACCATATAAGGCAACGCCGTGACGCCGCCGCCGCCGTAGTGAGGTGACGTAGCCGTCCGGCGCTGATTGGTCGGTCCGCCGGCCGTGTGTGACGTCACCGGCGGTCGATTGGCGGCCGGCGGCGGTGCACGTGAGCCCCGCTCGGCCGGCGCCGGACCGCATTCGGGCTGTTGTGGTCGTGGAGTGTGGAGCTGACGGAGCCCCGGTGCGGAGTCGGGCGGCGTGGCGTGCCTTCTGCTCGGGACCTGCTGTAGCGGCGCCGGGTGGCGACCGTCGAGTGTGCTGACCCGTCGTGACCCACGGTGACCTTTGGTGACCTGCCGTGGCCGTGAGCGGTGCTCTGTGTGCGGCTGGTGCCGGCCCCGGCCGGGGGATGTCCGCCGCTGTCTGAGCGTGCAGTGCCGCCGTGCGGGATGTTGCGAGTTTGAGGCGTGTGACCCGACCTCGGTCCGCCCCGACCCGGTCCGTGAGCGTGCAGTGTCAGTGAGCGCGAGACTCACCCGGAGCAGCAGCCATGGATGTGTACCCGAGCGGCAACATCTTCCAGGAGCTGAAGCTGGTGCTGGACAAGGGCTGCTTCCTCTCGTCGTGCTCGCTGGAAGAGCGCTGGCAACAGGTGGGTCACGCACACAGCCGGCCGGCTCCGAGCCGTGACCCCGCCGGGCCTGCAGGCTGCGGCGCGCGGCACGGTGGGGGGCAGGTCCCGGAGATGACGATCGTCGATCCTGCCACTAACATTGCATGCAAGTTGTTCTCTAAGTCTTCAAAACAGTATCTTAAGAGTAACTGTTCTCAATTCTAGAAAAATGATACCTACATTGTGGTTTATGAAATTAACAATTTTTCATTCATTTCTTTCCGTTACCAAGACCTCGGTGACTTACATTGGGCTCGCTCACAAGAAACGTCCAGCTTGACTGAAGTCCCGATAGATCGTATTTACATGCGTCCGGTCAACTTTGACTCCTGACAAGTCCAGTGCGGCCTGTCTGAGATTAGATGCATTCTCCGAATTCAGCCCAAATACCGGAAATAGGCCCCGCTTGGCACTGACATTCGACAAATGGCGTTAGGCCCCCGTTGCCCGCGCCACTATCACCAAGCGTTCGCCTCAGTTGGCTGTCAGCGGCCGAAACCACTCGCGTCGGCTCGTTTGAGACCGAAAATGGAGAAACTGTTTTCTCAGTGTGTGCGGATTGTTCGTTCGGTCTCGTCTGCCACCGTTGAGCCCAGTGTTTCGGACATTTGACGAAAGAAGTTCATAGTCTGTCGATAGCTAGATGCCTGTCGAGTTGCAGAGCAGCCGAAGCATGACGCAGACCGGGTGTGTATGTGTGTGTGTGGGGGGGGGGGGGGGTGCGTGTGTGTGTGTGTGTGTGTGCGTGTGTGTTAAGCGCAAAGTGGCCGAGGCGTCGGCAGCGGACCAGGTGTGTAGTGTAGACAGAGTGGCCGAGGCGTCGGCAGCGGACCAGGTGTGTAGTGTAGACAGAGTAGCCGAGGCGTCGGCAGCGGACCAGGTGTGTAGTGTAGACAGAGTGGTCGAGGCGTCGGCGCCGGACCGGATGTATGCGTATGTCGATTTGCAGAAATACGGAGGCGGCCACTTAGAAAATACTTTGAGACCTTTTTACAAAGAGACTCCTTGAGTGCTAAACCGAGCCTCCAAGGTGACTGGCTGAGATGTGTTTCTGCGGCAGCGTATGTCCATCAGGTTGCGTTCGGAAGCGCTTCTCGAAGCGTGGTCTGTTTTGACAAGGGGCATTATCCCATCTAACCAACCCCGCCACGTTGCCTCGTCAACAAGTGCTGCTTTATCTCGCTATTGAAGCGGCTCCCAGGCAGGTTTCGTGTCAGGTTTCGTGGCAAGATGTTATATGCGATGACAATAGCGTGTCTGAACTACGCCTGCCAGACTCCGATCGAATCGCCGGCGTGACTAAATGGTCTGCGTTCCGTGTTGTACGGTACGGCGGTGAACCTCCACGAGTGACCAGGTCGCCGGCGATCGACTCAGGCTCTGATGTCACTAAAATGCGCTTTAGTAAGCTAAGTGCCTACCGTGTTGCAGAGGGCCGAGGTGACGGCGGCGCACCTGGCGCCTGTAAGTTGCAGAGTAGCCGAGGCGTCGGCGGCGGGCCTGATGCGTGTGCATGGGTTGCAGATTAGCCGAAGCGCCGGTGGCGGACCCGATGTGTGCAGGGGTTACAGTGCAGCCCAGGCGTCGGCGGCGGGGCCGATGTATGTGCATGAGTTGCGGAGTAGCTGAGGCGTCGGCGGCGGTCCTGATGTACTTACGTGCAAGGGTTGTAGCGTAGCCGAGGCGTCAGTGGCGGACCTGATGCGTGTGCGTGAGTTGCAGGGTAGCCGAAGCGTCGGCGGCGGACCTGATGTATGTGCCGTTGCAGAGTAACCGAGGCGTCGGGGGCGGACCTGATGCATGTGTGTGATTTGCAAGAGTAGCCGAGGCTTCGGCGGCGGACCTCCTGTACGTGCGAACATGGGTGGAGAATTGTTTTCACAGTTGGTATGGCGCCAGTTGCTCGAAACAATACTATCGTGTTTTATTCTTATCAAACTGAAATCCTTAAATTTCGTAGCTTTTACCCTGAAAAGTTGGTATGGCATTGCCATACCATCTTTTAAGTTGGTGTGGCGCGTGCCATGCCTGCCATACCATATTCTCGACCCATGCCGGTGCAGATTCCACGGGGTGGCTGAGGCTATACGACGGCGGGCCTGATGTGTGTGCATGAGTAGCGGAGGAGCCGAGGCGTCGGCGGCGGACCTGATGCATGTGTGTGAGTTGCAGAGTAGCCGAGGCGTCGGCGGCGGACCTGATGTATGTGCGTGATTTGCGGAGTGGCCGGGGCGTTGTCGGCGAACCTGATGTGTGTGCGTGGGTTGCAGAGTAGCCGAGGCGTCGGTGGCGGACCTGATGTATGTGCAGTGCAGTGTATTGATGTCAACTACGGAAAAACGGAATACCGATACCAAACCAAGTACCAGCCTATGGTTCATTATACCATCAAAATACCGAACACATTAACTAGGAATCAAATACCAAGTACCGAGTTGGTATCAGTATGGTATCGGTATACCGAAAAGTTGTATCCGAGGACATCTCTAGTGCAGAGTAGCCGAGGCGTCGGCGGCGGACCTGATGCATGTGCGTGCCGAGGCGTCGGCGGCGGACCTGATGTATGTGCGGTGCAGAGTAGGACGTCGACTACGGAAAATCGGAATACCGATACCAAACCAAGTACCAACCTAGGGTGCATACCAACAAAATACCGAACACATTAGGAATCAATTAGCAAGTACCGAGTTGGTATCAGTATGGTATCGGTATACCGAAAAGTTGTATCCGAGGACATCTCTACTGCAGAGTAGCCGAGGCGTCGGCGGCGGACCTGATGCATGTGCGTGCCGAGGCGTCGGCGGCGGACCTGATGTATGTGCGGTGCCGAGTAGGACGTCGACTACGGAAAATCGGAATACCGATACCAAACCAAGTACCAACCTAGGGTGCATTATACCAACAAAATACCGAACACATTAGGAATCAAATACCAAGTACCGAGTTGGTATCACTATGGTATCGGTATACCGAAATTTGTATCCGAGGACATCTCTACAGCAGAGTAGCCGAGGCGTCGGCGGCGGACCTGATGCGTGTGGGTGCCGAGGCGTCGGCGGCGGACCTGATGTATGTGCGGTGCAGAGTAGGACGTCGACTACGGAAAATCGGAATACCGATACCAAACCAAGTACCAACCTAAGGTGCATTATACCAACAAAATACCGAACACATTAGGAATCAATTAGCAAGTACCGAGTTGGTACCAGTATGGTATCGGTATACCGAAAGTTATATCCGAGGACATCTCTACTGCAGAGTTGCCGAGGCGTCGGCGGCGGACCTGATGCATGTGCGTGCCGAGGCGTCGGCGGCGGACCTGATGCATGTGCGTGCCGAGGCGTCGGCGGCGGACCTGATGTATGTGCGTGCCGAGGCGTCGGCGGCGGACCTGATGCATGTGCATGAGTATGTATGTGCGTGAGTTGCAGAGTAGCCGAGGCGTCGGCAGCGGGCCTGATGTATGTGCAGTGCGGAGTAGCCGGGGCGTCGGACGCATTGCAGTTGCAGAGTAGCCGAGGGGTCGGCGGCGGACCTGATGTGTGTGCATGAGTTGTAGGGTGGCCGGAACCAGGTGTTTTGTGTGTATCGCGTCGCAGGTTGGGGTGCCGCGTTGCACGACCCTTCAAAGCGTGCCTACCAGGCTCCCCGGTTTCCTTTACGATTGCGTGTGCGCTTAATATGCCTCTGAATAGATGCGCGTCAGTCGCCGGGGAAACCATCCTCATGGTGGCGCCGCGTCAGTCGCCGGGCAACCATCCTCGTGGTGTAGCCGCCAAGGAACCGCACTCCGCTGTACGTACCCCCGAGCCGTGCTCGATACGCCTCACCTGCCGTGCCGGCGTTAGTGTGCCTGACCATAGAATCCTTGTAGCCGTTGGTACTCCCCACAGCTTCCCTGGCTCCCTTCTCGCTCGCTCTCCGCTCCACTCGCCGGCGGCCATGTCGGCGTTAAGGAGTGCGTGATCGGATAATCCTCGTAGCCGTTGGCACTCCGCACGGATTCCTTAGCTCACTTCTCGCCCACTCTCTGCTCCGCTCGCCGTCCGTCGCAGTCGACGACTGCCGTTCGCGCCTCTCGGCTCTCCTGCCAGCGGCGCGCCCGTTCCTACACTCCCCTTCGCACCACCCCGGTCAGGGTCTGCCCCGCGTCTGTCGGCGGGGTGATTTATCTGTCTCCGACCCCCGTCTCCCTTTGCTCCGGTCACGTTCAGTGGCGCCCGGGCAGGGTCCTAACCTTCCATAGCCGCGTCGCCGCTATGAGTTGATTTCCGTCCGATTCCTTCGGGACCAGAATCCTTGAATTTGTTCGCCGAGATTTGATCTCGTCAAGCTGCCTCGATTCAGGTTTTATTCATTCATCCGCGCCGCATACCTTTGTCGATTGTTGCCGCTCTGTTCATTAGCACTTCTGCTGCAGTGTGCTCGAAAAGAAACCCGAAACAGGGCTCCGGAACGTGTTCAGGCACCTTGAAACGTGAAACACCTTCGATCGACTCGGGAATCGATTCCAGTCGGTTCCGTTAGCGATCTTATGCAGGGCGGCTCTCCACTTGTCGAACGCGGAGTCATGTGACCATCGATATGCATTGATAGCCAATCGAGCTATGCACGTGTGGTAATAACAACGATATAAAAACGTGGACTTTGTCACGTGCCGCTACATAGTTCAACAAGCTCCCTCATATCGGTGTTTGATCGGTGTTGAGCAATGCGCTGAACTCGATGCTCGTCAGCTGTTTTTCGAGCGGATCCCGTAGCTGATGACTACCTTGTTTGACTCCTCGACCAACTCTGAGAAGTATAGGTACACCTAATCTCATTGACCTCAGCACACGTTGACAGTTTCCAGCGTGAGACGTCACAGCGCTCACGAGTGCCCGGGTGACAACTCACGGTTTGCCCGAGATAACGGTCCTCACCACTCCGGTTGGACGTGACGTGCGTCAGTTCCGCGAACTCCGAGACCTTCGCCGCTC